TGCCCTGGTTCTCTGAGCCCCGAGCATGACCGCACCCCTACTCGTGACAGCGGGGGTAAAACACTGCTCCCCGTGAGCACTGAGTCAGCAACCCCACAAGCGTTCCCAGTGACACAGGTGTGAGCCGGCGCACAAGGGGCCGCGTGAGCCGGGCCCAAGGCCACCTCTGTGACAGACAGTGTGACATCGGCTCTGATGAGGGTGTGTGTGGGACTCTCGCAATTCTGTGCTGCTCTGGGTTCTCCGACCAGCTTCCCGTGTCAGCAGTCCCAGCCTGTTCACTCCGGCAGGCACGGTCTGCAGGTGAACATGGCGCGGCGGCAGCAAAAAGTCCTGTTAAAACAAAATCACTGGGCACCTGGGTGGCTCTTTGGGTAAGCATCCAACTCTTGATTTCAGCTCAAGTCAGGATCTCATCGTTTGTGGGTTCAAGCCCCGAGTCAGGCTCTGCGCTGACAGCAAGGAGCCTGCTGGGGATTCTCTCCCTCTCTCTCCCCCATGCTCTCTGTCTCTCTCCCTCTCTCTCTCTCAAAATAAGTAAGTAAACTTTGAAAGAGAAGACGAAAGACCCAAAGATCACACTTTCAAGGATAGTAGCCATGCCCCACAATTATTCCCCCTGCCCCAGGTCTGGGGTTCCCACATCATCAGAAGAGGCGGGGGGTGGCGGCCCGGACAAGGTCCTTCTCTCACACGGGGACAGAGGAGCTGACGCTGTGCCGTGACACCAGTGGTGATATGGACACTTTGCTCGATGGTCAGAGGTGCTGGACGCAAAGGTGGCACCGTAATTTTTCGGGTGTGTGTGGGTACTTACCCTTGGGGCAGAATCTGCAGTGCAAGGTGCTAAGGGAGATACGTTCTGAGCTTACACAGGCCGGCGTGTGCGTCCCGGGGGCAGAGGAAGGACATTGTCCTGTTCTCTGCTGACCCCCAGTGCAAGGACAGTGCTTACACATAGTAGGCTTTTCACAAACACTCCCCGAGTGACTGCCGATGAGCGAACCACTCAAAAATCAGACCTTAGATACACCCGACGAGGCCAGACCTCTGCACGCGTGCACGGACTTTTGCGTCAGACACAGAGTCAGGCAGCCTCCCTCACCCCCAGCCTGTATCCCAGAGATCCACAGCTGACTGGAGATTTTCCACCGCACCACGTCGGAAATGCCCGCAGGGCCGTGCCTGAGACATCAGGCGAGGCCTTCCAGAGCCCCATCTGTCAGCATTTCTGCAGTCACATCTCGTGGAACAGAAGTTCCATGAGATGCTCCTGAAAAACACGCTCCAAGGTCATGAGAAGTGCTGTTTGCCCACTCCATTGTGAAGATTTTCAAGTCACATTAGCAGACTGTGCGTTATAAGCCCCCAGAAGCCCTTCGGTAGAAAGATGTGCTCAGTTTCATAGAACTCGGTATTCCTCAAGTGTATTTGCTCATGCAAATGCTTCTTGGCCATGACAAACCCATCTGAGTACTTTAATTCAGCCTGGTCTTACCAACACAGCTGAGCGGCAGGGGCCGTGCGAGTCACACACCCACCCGTGTGGTCACCCCACCGTCCTGCACCTGACTTTCCTACCAGAGAACAGGAAAGCCGAGAGGGCCACGCTGCACCCCACAGCACCCCTGAAAGACCAGGGATGATGCAGTGAGGGGCCACGTGTGGTACTGAAGTCTGTCTGGATGGGGAGTAAAACCAAGCCCTGTGTCGCTGCCGTGTAGCCGGCACCGTAGTGCCTCCCACAGCCCCGCCCATTTGAGCCAAGGCCCCAACGCTCCACGGAGCACGGTGTGACTTGTCCCTGCTTTTCACACCTCTGTGTGGCTCACCATGCCACACTGGGAAGTCCACCCACAACCGGCCCCCACGCCTGCTTCCCTCCAACCCTCGTAGGCGCCTCGCATCCCGGGGTCTCTTCCCGCCTGTGACTGGGAGAGCGGGGTCAGCTGAGCAGGCCGGGGAGACGCAGAAGCCCTGGGAAGGCACGGGATCCTAGCAAAGTGTAACACTGGTTTTAACATTAGCATCGGCAAACACGGGTGTCTGTTGTCATGCTTGGTGCCCTGACGAGGTGTTCTTGGAACCCTCTGATTATTCCCTTCTTACCAGAGCCCCCAAGTGAAGAAGATTCTGGTCCAAGCAGCAGCAACTCAAAATCCTCCCTCACCCCCGTCTTTAAGGGCCGGCCCGGCCAGAGTGCGGCCGCCCCCAAACACTCCCCGCTCAGAGCGCTCAGCCATTTAGCCGGTCTGACCCCAAACACACAAAAACGCACTCTCAGGCAAATTAAAAACATCCATTTGCCACTTCTTATTACCGAACCATGTGGAATGCAAAAGAGGAGCATAAAAAACGAGGCTCTCGGTAACGGGGAAGGCTTGCATTTTATCCCGGGCTCTGGAGCAGCGGTACGGAGCGAATACATAACACTGTGTGAGTCTCACCCAGACAGAGGCGCACAGAGCTGGTAATAACTCAAGGTATTTTATCACTGTGTGTCCTCAGGCTAGGCATCAGATGGGAAAAACACTCCTGAAACAAAATTAAATAGTTTTAGATCTAATTTTACCAGGCTGAACTAGGTTGCAGATTGATTTTCATGGAATCTAATAGAGAACAACACACACGTTGCCCGTCTCATAGAAAATCCATCCACCACACCACTTTCTACTCGCCTTGCGCTTCAGCACAAGTAATCAGAAGCTCGTACTTCACAAGGCAGCGCGCCTCACCCTGCGAACGCCTTCCCCTCCAACGGAGCCTGATGCAGGCACGGCCTCCCAGGCGGTCTCCTCAAGTGCCTGCTCACGCGGACACGAGATCCGCTCGCTCCCTCTGGCAGGAAGGGTTGGCCTGGGGCCAGGGCAGCACCCAGATCCCGCGTCTAGCTGTCCTCTGTTTGGCCTCCTCATCTCTGCCTGCCACACACCGCCCTCGCTCTTCCAGAATTTTCTCCTCTTCCCTGAACAGCTAAGCGCTGGCTCCTCTTCCTCCATGTGCATCAGGGCCAACCAGAACCAGACGGGAAAGCGTGGCGGCTCCAGCCCCTCCCAGAACAGGCTGCGTGGGGCCTGGTCCTGTGGACTGCCTGCACGGGCCCCTGCCAGGCCACCCTGACCTGCACACCCTGGTGACAGCACCCACCTACTCCGTCTCTAAGGGTCACTTACGGTCCTGATCTGGGACATGGGTACACCTTCCCCAGTTGGCCGTGCCCCGGCTTTCTCGGTGACGGCGTGTGTGGGCTGATGCACCTCCCAGCAGGACCACAGAGCCCCTGAACACGTGGGGGTGGGGCTTAAGAGTACCCGCGCGGCACAACTGAGCGTTAGTGAGCGACAAGGGGGTGAAGAGGCCGAGACGTCAGCAGCAGGGCTGGATGAGCCTGAACACCGACTGGAGTTCAGTCAGCAAGGAGGGAAATGGTGCCGTGTAAGGAAAACAGTGGCCAGGGAAAGGACATCGCTGATGTGTGACCAGCACCCGCCCATCCTGTGCAATGGGTTGGTCTGCAAACTGCAGGGTCTTATCGTGAAAGCAGGTACACCGTCTACCCATGTGATTCCGCATCTAGTCGGGAGAGAGGGCCAATTAAACAGGCGTGACAAATAGATGTGATACAGTCTGCACAGAAAATAGAGCAAGAGGGGTGCCCAGGTGGCTCAGTCAGTGAAGTGTCCCACTCTTGATTTCAGCTCAGGTTGTGATCTCACGGTTCGTGAGTTTGAGCCCCACATCAGGCTGTGCACTGACAGCTTGGAGCCTGCTTGGGGTTCTCTCTCTCACTTTCTCTCAAAACAAATAAATAAGCTTAAAAAAAGAAAAAGGAAAGGGAAGGGAAGGGAAGGGAAGGGAAGGGAAGGGAAGGGAAGGGAAGGGAAGGGAAGGGAAGTTCTAGACTGTTCTAGATTGTTCCAGGGGTGTCCTAGGCTTTGGAGCATAGCATGTTCTCCATGACCCTTTGTTGACTGAGCAAATGGAGTCAACGAATTCCAGTCTGGGGCTGAGGAGCCTAGACTTTTCAGGACAGCACTTGCCTCGGGCCCCTACCATGTGTGAGCATCATAGGTGACCACTCATCAGAACAGCAGAGAACCACTTGGGTACCATGGGTTCAGGTCAGCCTTGGGCGTGCTGCACGAACAGACGAGCTATTAGCTTGGAAATAATAAATATCATTTACATACATCAGCCACGAGCTCCCTTCTAAAGGGAGATAATTAAATTTAGACTTGCAAATTCAGATACCAACACTTTGACCTGCTCTCTAAACAACTGCTTATGTAATCAGTGTTCTATTCTCGGTTATTAGAATATTTCACTCATATAAGAGATGAGAAATTAGCCAAATTTCAAACAGCATTGAAGACATTACTGTTGTTGACAGTGGGACTTAACAAAGTCAGCGGAGGACAGGGGGCCCTGCCAGGAGCTTCCGTGATGTCTCATTTCTTGCTCTCGGATGAACTCGCTTCAGCACCTTAAATAATAAAAATAATGTAAGAAAACAAAATAAAAACAACACTAGATCTAGTTGACTTGAGGAATGCAGGAGTCACCAAGCATCTCCTGACAGCCTAGTAAGATCAAGAAGTTGCTTGCGTCCTAGATTGTTCTGACTTCATCATCGTGTTTGAACCAGTCACTGCTGACCTGTATTGGGTACGTGTCCCTTGTCAGGATGTGTGTGTTACCCGTACATCTCACTTAAATCTGACCCACACCCCTGACGTAGGGGGTGACTGCATTTCAGAGATGAGGGAATGGAGACCTGGGGAGGCCAGGCAACGGGGCCGATCCCCCAGCTGGTAGTGGGCTGGGACCCAGACACCCTGAGCAGGCAGCCTGCACACCCGCGGGGCTAGTGGTCCAGCTGGTGAGACAAACACACAGAGGGAAGGCGGACACGTGGGGACAGCCCAGCATGAGGTGTGGGCAGTGAACACTGGAGGGAATCCTGTCACAGGAAAGACCGTAAGGACGGGGCGGTGACTGGGATGGGCAGTGACCTCGCCACTCTCTCCTCCAACAACTACCAGAACCCCCATGACAAACGAGGCGCAGTCAGGTCCTTCAAAGACCGCCACGCACGTGAGAGACATCTAGGGTCTCACAGTCACTCATGGCGGCATAGAGTCCAGCCTCTGTGTCAAACTTCACCTTCAGGGCGCATCATCCGCTGCCCTGGGGGCCTCTGAGGAGGGGCTCAGAGAGGACTATTCGTCTTGAAGAATGAAAGTCCTTCCTTCCATGAGCGCCATCCCCTTGGAAGCCCTGTGCGGTCATCTCTGTAAACTGTCACTGCCCTGGGGGGCCCTGACCTGCACACCTTGGTGGTACCACCAGCTCACATGCTCGGGAAACGGAGCCCTGGGGGCTGGTGGCTCCTCTCCTGCCCACCGTGCACCTGACGCTCTCACCTCCCCCGCCCCTGCCACACGCCAGACGTTCAGACCAGTAGAGACCAAGAGGCTCTGTGCTCCCTCCTCCCTGCCGGACCCTGCAGGACCCCATCGGGAGTGTGGCTCAGGCAACCGTTGGAAGGACAGAGCGATGGGGGATCGGCTCCGAAACCCGGGAAGGGCGCGGGCGGGCTGAGAGCAGGGGTGCGGATGTGACAGCGGCCAGGGGCACAGCGGGAAAGCAGGGCGCCAGGTCACCACGTGAGGAAGCAGGTGAGTCCCGTGACTCGGGCTCCCCGTTGGAGCCCCGGGCGGAAGGGATGAGCGCGGGGGCGAAACACCGAGAACGCTGGACTTGACGGGAGGAGCTCACGGCGTCTGGAGCAGACGGACTCAGACGCGTCTACAGCAATCCGGCACAGTGCCCGCCGGAAGTGGGAAACGTGGCCAACGCGTCACAAGGGAGTCGGGCGGGGTTGGAGGAGGAGAACGCCTTCGGGCCACCCGCCTGCAAATGAGAGAGCTCCGTCTGAGCGCGGGACGCCCGCTGCCGCCCACGCGAGCCACGACCCCTGTCGGCCAGCACGAGTCGCTGATAGTCACGCTGGGCAGACCGGGACCACCTGGGACCGCCTGGGACCGCAGCAGAAACCCTCAGGGATGCCGCTCCGAGCCCAGAACCCCCGCTCAGGTTGGGGAGCACGCGTGGAGGGACGGCGAGGACGCTGGCCGTCACACGTGGCCTCGGACAGCATGCTGGCAAGGGCACGCCTGGCCCGCACAAGCTCCCTGATCTGGACGCGGCTGACCTCCAGGCGGGGAAGGGAGAAGAGGCCGCAGGTTCGGTCACCCGGGCTCTGCTGTGCCGTGGGCGTGTATATAAAGTAGCCATGCCACAGGGGCGCGAGTGCCACATTAGAGTCCTGAGAGAGGAAGCCAGCAGAGTAACAGAGATTACAAGGCATCGGCTCCCTCATCACGGAGCGTGCAGAGCCCCACCCCCACCACCGTCTGTCACCTGCAAGCTGGAGAGGCAGGAAGATGATACACGGCTGGAAGGTCCGTGACCCAGGGGAGCTGGCGCTACAGGTTCCGAGACCCCAGTCCACATGTGAGGGCCCGTGAACCAAGAGTTGGAAGAGTGAGAATCCCCCTCCCTTCTCCACCTTTCTGTCTGTGCAAGTCCTCAACTGATTGGGTGAGGCCCACCTCAGCCGGAGTTCTCTGCTCGACTCAGTCCTCCGATTCGAATTCTGGTCTCGACCAGAAACTCCCTCATAGATGCATCAGAATCATGTGTGGCCACATATCCAGGCGCCCAGGGCCCATTCAAGGTAACACATACAATCAACCAACACAAACGTGCCACTCATGGTGTTTCTGTAGAGTCGTGGTTATCACCCGACAGATGTGCCGTTCGGTGCTCAGGGAATCCGGTGACCTTGAGTCAGAGACGGATGCTGGTGAGGCTTTCACTCACTCACAGAAGCAACGGTTGAGGGTTGAAGCCTCTAGTGCAGGAAGGGCACGAGGTGAGAACGGGTGAAGGATGGTCTGGGCCAGAGGAAACTAATACAGGAGGTCTTTTCATAAAAAAACGGAAGAATAGAATGTAAAACTGCAAAATAAAAGCATTTTAGTTTGGCACGTCTCCAAAGAAACCAGGATGCTAAGGAAGGAAGCCCAAGGAGCTGCAAGGAACCGACAACACCGAAGGACTTTGGGGGCGGCATGTCTCTAGGGGCAAGAAATCCAGACAGTGCGGGATTCGTGCTTATTTGCGGAGTATTATACTCTCGTTGTACCCACGGCTCCCTAACTACAGCCCCCCCGGGTGCCTATCAGGTCTGTGGGGTTACTTGCATTGGTGAGAATTTCCAGCCTCAAGATAATTCTCTCCTAGAATTCCTGGCCGGGATCACAGCCCAACCGTGTCTTGTAGACCCTCTCAAATACTCACTGCTCCTCAGAGCCAGTCCGGTCACCATCTGATGATGGAGTGGGAGGGGCTCAGATGAACTGTGACCTTGATGGAATGGGGGGGGGGGGCTCTGATGAACTTTGACCTCGCTGGTTGCAACAGAAAGAAAACCTTCTGGGAGAAGTGCAGTCTGAAACGGCCTCAGAGTCCCAGCTGAACCGTGGCTTCGCCCCCCGCCTGCCGAGACCCATTACTGGCGCGGACCTTCTGCCGCAAACGGGGATGGCAGTGAGGACCGCATCCAGGCTGGATGGCCGTTAGGTCTGAAACCTCTTGTCGTCCTGCACAGACTGCTGTCCTGGCCGGAAGGACGGGGAGCCTCTAGTGGAGGCACCACACTGATTCGGAGAATGATGTCACGGCCGCCTGCAGGCGGAGCCTGGAATGGAGTCAGCATCTAGACTGCAAGCCAGATAATTGGGAGGGCTCGAGTCAAAGTGAAGTGTGAACCCACACCTTTACGTGTGCACATTTAAAACTTAACTAGTCACCTTCTCGTCCATCAATCAGTTGTCAGACCATCTGTCTTTGCCTGCTCTCTGCTCACCGCAATCTGGTGCCAGTGTGTTTGTTTTCCACGGCTTACAAAAATACGCCGGGTGGTGGAGTGCAGCTCGCGTCACGCCCGAAGTGTCTGCAAGGCCCCGAGACTGTCGTAGGGCCGCGATCGAGGCCTGATCAGGATTCCCCCTCCCCCTCCCGGGATATGTCCCGCGTCACTGCTGTCACCGTCACCCAGGGAGCCTGTCTCGGGAGGCATCCATGCGGGACCTCGAGGGTGGGGCTCGAGCTCCAGGAGCCACAGTCACGCTTTCGCAGGCGCAGGCGGGGTGCTGGGGCTCAGGCGCCCTTCACTTAGGGCTTGCTGCCTGAGAAATCTGGGGGCTTCGTGAAGGAAGATGGGGGTCATGTGTCCCCCAACGTCCTTGGAGTCCCAGGGGGAGGGAAGCGCTCCCGCTCCCCTGTCGCCCATTCCCCGCGCACACCCAGCACCCGCACAGAGCCCTCCTGGGAAAGCTCTGGGGCCCAGGCAGGGTCCACTGGCTCACTGGAAGTTGCAACTCCGTGCTATAAACACAGAAGGACTATCATGCTCTGCCCCCAATCCCTCAGCAAATCCCAGGCAGAGCCTCAACTCCATGCTCATTTCCCACCCGAGAGACCCATCCTGTCCCGACTGAAGTTCACCATCGCAGAACCCATTCTGAGCCCGTCCGGGGGAGGGGAGGGAAGGAACCTCTGTCGAAATGGCCACCGTGTCCTCAGTGGTGGCTCTCCCAGGGGCCACCGTGTCCTCAGCGGTG